GCCACCAAAGCCCACGCCCAAACCCTAAACCCTAAACCCTAAACCCTAAACCCTAATCGCGCCTGTGTACTGTTTGCCGTCGCTCCAGGTGTAGGTGCCTTCGCCGTGGATGGCGTTCTCTGCAAACCCTCCCTCGTAAACACTTTTGTCTTTCCCAACGCCACCAAAGCCCACGCCCAAACCCTAAACCCTAAACCCTAAACCCTAAACCCTAATCGCGCCTGTGTACTGTTTGCCGTCGCTCCAGGTGTAGGTGCCTTCGCCGTGGATGGCGTTCTCTGCAAACCCTCCCTCGTAAACACTTTTGTCTTTCCCAACGCCACCAAAGCCCACGCCCAAACCCTAAACCCTAAACCCTAAACCCTAAACCCTAATCGCGCCTGTGTACTGTTTGCCGTCGCTCCAGGTGTAGGTGCCTTCGCCGTGGATGGCGTTCTCTGCAAACCCTCCCTCGTAAACACTTTTGTCTTTCCCAACGCCACCAAAGCCCACGCCCAAACCCTAAACCCTAAACCCTAAACCCTAAACCCTAATCGCGCCTGTGTACTGTTTGCCGTCGCTCCAGGTGTAGGTGCCTTCGCCGTGGATGGCGTTCTCTGCAAACCCTCCCTCGTAAACACTTTTGTCTTTCCATTTGAATTTTCCTTTTCCTTCTTTTTTTCCTTTTTTATATTCCCCTTCGTAGCTGCTGCCGTCCGCCCACACCTCCACGCCCCAGCCCTCCTGCACGTCCTCCACCCACGACCCTGCAGCAGCAGCAGCAGCAGCAGCAGCAGCAGCAGCAGCAGCAGCAGCAGCAGCGGTGGGGGGGTGGGCGGGGAAGTGCAGCAGCAGCGGCAGCAGCAGCAGCGGAGGTTTTGGGCACACCGCAGCAGCAGCAGCAGCAGCAGAGCAGAGCCAGCAGCAGCAAGAAGACCTGCTGCTGCTGCTGCTGCTTCAGCAGAAGCTGCGAGGGAGGCAGAGAAGAGGAGACGCGCAAACGGAGCACTGAGGAAAATCAGGGTTTAGGGTTTAGGGTTTAGGGTTTGACCTTCGTAGTAAGAGCCGTCGGCGTGAGTGAATCTTCCCTTCCCATGGGCTTTGCTGTTTTTCCACTGCCCCTCATACGTGTCGCCTACGCCGCACAAACCCTAAACCCTAAACCCTAAACCCTAAACCCTAAACCCTAAACCCTAATTCTAGCTGATCGAGCATTCCCTTCGAGACGCGCAGGCGGAGCAGCAGCGGCTGCAGCCCCTGGCGCCGCGCCCCGTGGGCCCGAGGACGAAACTAGGGTTTAGGGTTTAGGGTTTAGGGTTTAGGGTTTACCTGAAGGGTGGATGAACTTGCCCTGGCCCTCTGCAACCCCGTCTTTGAAATAACCCACATACTTCGAGCCGCAGGGCCTCACTAAAACACCAAATCCGTGTTTAAGTCCATTTTTGAATTCCCCCGTGTAAGTGGCCCCGCCGCCTGGCCGCAAACCCTAAACCCTAAACCCTAAACCCTAAACCCTAGCTGCGCCCGCGCCAACGCACCCGCAACTCCCGCAAACAACCACTAACGCCTACTCAAAACCGTCGTCTTCGCAGTGTTGTCCTGGGCACAACCACCCAAACCCTAAACCCTCTAAACCCTAAACCCTAAACCCTAAACCCTTCTAAACCCTAAACCCTAAACCCTAGAACGCATTGGCGAAGTCCTAGGCAACAGCTTCGCCGCAAAACCCTCACAGGCCCCAAGCCGCAAAGGGCGCTCACACGCCTCACGTTCTTACGCGCACGCGACTAAACCCTAAACCCCAAACCCTAAACCCTAAACCCTAAACCCTAAACCCTTACTCCCTCATTTCCTTCAGTCTGCTGCGTCGCCACTATCTCGAAGCCGTTTTCGCTTTTGCTGGCGTCCAGGCACTGGCAAGAAATTGCAGTCCCCATTGTGCTTGCCTGCGAAGCCAAACCCTAAACCCTAAACCCTAAACTCTAAACCCTAAGCCTCAAGCCCAGGCCCGGAGAAGGAAACAGTTAAGTTAAGTGAGTTTGCTGCAAGGGTTTAAGAAGAAGCAGCAGCTCAAATCTGTTGAGGTTCTAAGGCGCCTTCGGAGGCGAGGGCAGCGCCAGCAGGGTTTAGCGTTTAGGGTTCAGGGTTTAGGGTTTACGGGAGAGGCTTGACTGGCTGGGAGGGCGGTGGCCCCTGCAGGCCGGAGGGCTCGTGAATACTTGAGGTGTACGTACACCTGGAGCGGCAGGGCCGGGACAGCCGCGGCTGAGCCCCCGCGGCGGATCTGAAATTGGGGTGTCTAGGGAGCTTTCGGGGGCATTGGGGCGAGCTGGGGGATGCAAAGAAGCGAAAAAAGAAAAGAAATGATAAAAATAAAATAAAAAAGAAGGAAGAAGCGATTTTTTGCGGCGCTTCAGCCTGGAGAACGGAAGCAGCGACAAGGCTGCCGGTGGTGCTGAGGTGTATAGACAGCTCGCCGCCCAAGACTCCGCCAAACTTCGCAGTTCTTTTGCGAAATAGAAAAAGCTCTTTATAAAGTATTTATTTTATTTATTTTGTTTGCTGGAACGCGCTGCGGCCTCGCTGCTCAGTTACGGCGGCTGCAGCAGGGGCTGCCGCCGCCGCCATGTCGGGTGTATGCGCGGGCCTTCGTTCGCCCTCTATTTTACTCGTTTTTCCTCTTTTTCTGCTTTTTATAAATGCGTTTTATGCAATTTTATTGAAAAAGGCATTTAAAGCGGGGCGGAAAGGGCGGAAACACCCGCAGGACTGCAACACTGAAATGACTGACCCGTGAGCGCCGGAGGCGCCGGGGCACCCGGAGCTGAATTTTCGAGTTCTTCGCGCCTTTTAAACTCAATTAGAACAATTTAATTCATTTTATTTTATTATTATCTATTTATTTATTCATTTATTATTTATTTATTCATTTCCCCCAAATTCCCCGCCACGCACTTCCTCCGTCGGGGAAGGAACCAGGGGCGCCGCCGCCCTGGAGCCCGCGTGCTGCTGCAGCCGAAACCCTAAACCCTAAATCCTAAACCCTAGACCCTAAACCCTAAAGAGCAAACTCTAAACCCTAAGCCCTAAGACGCAAACCATAAACCCCAAACCTCAAGCTTTGGGCCACAGGCTTCAAGCCGAGCAGTAAACTGGACTGTCTGTCCCTTCAAAGGGTGTATTTTTTGCGGTAGCGAGGGTTTAGGGTTTAGGCTTTTAGGATTTAGGGTTTGGACATGGGGGAAGTCCTAAGCGCTTGAAGCCTAGGCTTCGAAGCTTGGGAATTAGGGTTTAGGGTTTACGTTCGAGATCTAGGGTTTAGGGTTTGCGTGGCTGCAGCAAGCCTACAGCTTTGAGGGTTTAGGGTTTGCAATGCCCCAATAGTGCTCACGGCTGCAAGGCTTCCTAAACCCTAGCTCGCTGCAACCCATTCCAACTAGGGTTTAGGGTTTAGGGTTTAGGGTTTACGCGGAGGCTTGCGAACATTCTCTCTGCAAATGCAGTTTGAAACGCCCTCAAATGGCCTGGCTAGCTAGCTGGCTAGCTGCATACCCATCTATCTAGCTTCAAGCTATCTGGCGGCTAGCTAGCAGCTGGCCAGCCAGCTAGCTAGCCAGCTAGCTAGCCAGCTAGCTGCCATGCCAGCAGCTAGCTGGCTAGCCAGCTAGCCAGCTGCTCACCTACCTTGCTGCCTAGCTAGGCAGCTGCTAAGGTGGCTAGCTAGCTAGCGGCCTAGCTAGCTGCTAGCTAGCCAGCCACCAGCTATCTATCTATATATCTTCCTAACTAGCTAGCTAGCTAGTTAGCTAGCTAGTTGGCAGCTAAACT